TTATATTTGTGAATTTCTTTAAAATGTTTTATTCATAGGGCCAGGGATTTAGTTCAGTGGTTTTACCACCTGCTGCGCAAGCACAAGGACCCGAGTTCGATCCCTGGGACCAAAAAAAAAAAAAAAAGTTTTATTCATAAAGGCAGCTGATTTATGCAGAGAATATAAAACATTATAATGTGTTTGGCTTTTTTATGGCCACAGGAGCACCCATTTTTTCAGATAATTTTTGATAACATTCTCTACATTGCTTGTGTGCGTTTCTCTGATTCTAAATAAGCTTTATAAAGTGAATGTTATTTCTGAGTAATTTGTACCCATGGCATTTCTTCATGGGTTAATAGATTATCAATAATTAATTCTCTAAATTTTAACATGGAAATCTTACAAGTACCGCATTGCTGGTGTATATAATATGCATGTCCAACTGCTATACCACAAATTAGCTGTAATACAATTTTTATTCCTTTTAATGTTTTCCTTAAGGAATGTAATATGATGGCATCTGGTCTGCTAAGTTAATGCCTTTCTTTGCATTATTTTCTTTTTTTCTACTTTTTTTTAGGGGCGTGGTACAGGGGATCGAACTCAGGACCTTGCACTTGCAAGGCAGGCGCAGTGCCACTGAGCTAAATCCCCGGCCCTTCTTTGCATTATTTTCATCAAAGACCTCCCTGAGAAAGGGGTACAAGCTGCCTGATGGTACAGTCATACATGTAACACCAGTGGTTCAAGTTGCCTAATGGGATAGTCAATTCAAATCAGAGCTGCCTAGCAGAGAGACATACAAATTATGGCCCCATTGTGAACATGTTTAAACATCACACCATGATTTATACTAATAAAAATTGACCACATCACTGTTCATTCGAGAGACGCAGATGAAAACAACACTGAGATTCCACCTCACCCCAGAAAGAATGGCTGCTATTAAGAAATCAACCAGTAACAAATGCTGGTGGGGTTGTGGGGAGAAAGGAACCCTTCTCCATTGCTGGTGGGAGTGCAGATTGGTGCAACCACTGTGGAAATCAGTATGGAGATACCTCAAAGAACTAGGGCTAGAAGTCCCATTTGACCCAGCTATTCCCCTGCTGGGGATCTTCCCCAAAGAATTAAAA